TTCAAAAAATTAGAGGACTTGTAAGATCAACAGTAGAGGCACACACAGTTATTATTTCTAAATATTAAAAGGAATAGTTTACTTTGAAATTAATTTTCGATATGTTTTAGCTTACCTCAAGGGCATGTAGATGTAGGTGTCTTTGTTTCCACAGTATTTTCAATTTTGTTTTGTTTTTTCGGTTAAACCGTTGTTGTCTATCAGTCATACACTGGAGGTTTAGGGGGTCCTCCCTCGGTTCACCTCAAAGAGCATGCACAGAGAAGTCAAAATTAAACATGATTTAATGACTCGTAAATGTAAGTACACATCGATGGCCTAAGACAATAAACGAGCGGTTTGTGTGAAAAAACTAACAGTATTTATATAGTTTTTTACCTCGTGTAACTGAGCCATTGGCAACTGATCTGACGGCAGAGGCGTTTCAGTCTGTGTATGCGCCGGAAGTGATCACTTGCGTCTGTACGTCACTCATTGTTTACACAGAGTTTTGGAAGTTTTACCTTTCACTGTGAAGATCTAAACATATTTATATATACAGGAAATCGCAATGGAAGAAGATTTCGATATATCTAAATGTTTAGTGAAAGGTTAAACTCCCGAAATCTCTCTGTAAACAATGAGTGACGTATACGCGCAAGCGATCACTTCTGGCGCATGCACAGACTGAAGCGCCCCTGCCGTCAGATCAGTTGCCAATGGCTGAGTTACACGAGGTAAAAACGATATAAATACTGTTCGTTTTCTCACACAAACCGCTCGTTTCGTGCCTTAGGCCTTCACTGTGTACATACATTTACGAGTCATTCAATCATGTTTAATTTGGACTTCTCTGTGCATGCTCTTTGACATTAACCGGGGGAGGACCCCCTAAACCTCCATTATATGACTGATTGACAACAATGGTTTGACCGAAAGATATCAAAATTGAAAATACTGTGGAAACAAAGACACCTACATCTTGGATGCCCTTGAGGTAAGATAAAACATTTCAAAAATTAAATTCAAAGTGAACTATCCCTTTAATAGTTTCTTTGGGAAGATACCAGAATACTTGCTTGCAAGTAGAGCTAATGGCTCCCGTTGACTGTTGGCCTGTTAAATGTTCAGCCAGTTCATTCATAATTGAATGTTTTCCTACTTCAGTGATATTAACTGCAGTTCCACTAATATTGTTGATATTAAAGTAATAAAATAATTTTTCAAAGATTCCATTGTTGTTTTGTTTTTGTATTGTTTAAGTGTTTATTGCATAATCTATGCATACATCTAGCATGTATTCTGTTCTAGGTTTGTAGTGTAACAGTTTTATAGCTATGAGTAGTCTATTGCCTTTATTTTCTTTAATTGTACTGTAATGTGCTAGAATTAGTCTGGCATATGGGTTAATTTGACCCAGCATTTGGGTACACTATATAAAAAATATGTAATTGAATCAACCCAGAATTGTAATTAATTTGACCCAGCATTTGGGTACGCTATATAACAAATTTGTAGTTAAATCAACCCAGAATTTTATTTAATTTGACCCAGCATTTGAGTAGAAATGAACAACTCATCTGTTGGGTTAAAAATGACCGACCCATCTTGCTGGGTCAAATTAACTACTGCTGGGCTGGTGCAATATTGATCCAGCAGTTGGGTTATACAACAAACCAAGTTGGGTTATTTTTAACCCATCATTTTTTAGAGTGTATCATTATTATAATACCTGTAGTGTGGACTTTCCTGTTCTCATAGAATTAGAAATATTATTAAAACTTTATAGTTATACACACAGAGTAATCTTAATAATCATTGTGTGAACAAACATTCATTGTGACTGTGAGTGCATTAATCGATTCGCGACTCGCGACTCAACCTGCACGAAAGACGATTCTCAAAAGATTAAATTAATTGTTGAATTGAGAACCTTGGACCGACTCCGTAAACTATTCAGCCTGGTTTCTTGAACATATGTGTAAACCTATTAAACGATTAGGCTATATCAGATTTAAAAGAATCTACACTCACGAGAAGCGCGAGCGTGCCATATGAGGTAACGTTAAAGAAAATCGCTTGTACGAATCCAACAGCAGCTGCCTGTTTTTTTCTCTTTTCCTCCTGGGCATTATTCTCCACTTTGTCCCTTTATGTGTTAATCCAACAAAACATCACCAAACAAAGGCTTAATCCTACTATATCAGATACAGGTCAACCAGCAATGACTGAAGATACAAGACGATACAAGATAACCATAATGAAAAGTTGTATTCAGTCTTTCGCAGGCGTTTTATTTTTTTAACACACGCGTGGATCCATAACATTAGCCTATGACGGAACCCGCATCAACGTCTGATTTATAAAATGTAGTTTATGTAAGCTATCAACTTTCTCGGAATAGCTCGACCACATCATCACGCAGCGAGCGAGCGAGCGAGCGAAGGGAAAAGTCATCACGCAGATTTTAAACTGCAGACCCGATTAAAGTAACAGATCGAGCCACGTACGTAGGCTACACTTACCTTTTAACATGAACGGAGATGAGAGAATTCGATGTCGCCAGTCGTGAATCGATATAAGCACACGCTACACATTTCCAACCTGAAAAGCGATCTGTTGGCGCACTTTCACTTCTCCACAAACAAGCGTTCGCCGCGCGTCTTTATCAAGCACAAGACTGACCAGCCTTAGTTCGTACAAAGGTATCGTCCAGGAAAGACATGCCTCGAGCTCTGGTGCTTTGAATAAAACATATACAGTAACGTGAAAGCACGAAGCATCCCCGCCGATCCAGCGCGTTTCTCCGTGATAGTTCCAGCAGCATACGGGGCGTAAAGCCATTAACAGCCTGCGCTTCCCCTCAATAACAGGCTATGGGAGCGCAGTGAACCGTGGCGTGGACTCCACTGGCTCGCTGTTCGCTCTGCCCACTCGAGCTTGTGAATGGTAATGAGCGTCCATGATGTCAGCAAGTCAACGTCCCTACATTAGTTTAATTAGCACCGTGAATAGCTGGTGTTGTTGGAATCATTTACATGCAAATCAGTCTCTTTCCCAACTGTAAAGAGTCCAGACAATACACGCATTTCACAAGGCAAAAGGAGGGTAAAGAACACTGTTTATATGTAAATAATGTAGCCACACACATAAATAAAATATGTATTTTCATAAGTAAGCCAGATAAAAGTTTAATAGTGAAAATATTTTAAATGTTCCGAATCAATTTCATCATTTGTTTTAACAACATTATAATATTTTTATTATAATACTTTTATTTTAGTTTTGAGAAAATTAAATCTGCTAATCACAGGGCTCTTTCTAAATATAAGGTTATGTGAAGAAAAAAAGAAGCATATATCCAATAAAACATTTGTGGCCAAAACAGGCAAGGTTGACGCCCATTATAATTACTATTAGGCTATTATATAAATGCTTTTAAAAACTTTTTGGGGAAACTTCTATCCTTTCCCTACAAAAGATCACATTTGAACATCTCACAGAAAATTTGAGCATGTCAGATTATTAGTTTTTTTTAATATATGCATAGTTTGCCAGATTAAAGGGGTTATATTTTTTTAAGCGCTGAAACATTTCACCTAATTCTCCCCTGATCTGAAATCTGACGGTGAGACAACCAAGAAAGACCACCAAAACCCAATACAGAGCGTTCATAGATGATGCTTAGATGCATGAGCTATGCCTGGTTGGGTAAATCAATACTTCTTTCAAAAGCTCTCTCACAACACCAGTTCGCAACAAAGAGAGAAAAAGTAAAGTCTACAACGGCGGTTAAATTACTTAATAAAACGTCCATAAATCTATTTGAATGCAGCTGGCTCTTGCTTAAGTTCTCTGAGTGGATGTGCAGTCATCTGAAAAGAGGGTATCTCTTATTGGAGCTTCTCATTTGCCATGCAAACCTGAGCCAAACCCCTACACACACACAGTAGTATCAATTACCCCAGTGCTTTAGGCTTGGAGAGTAACACGCACTGACAGCCACTCTGTTCCCCACAGCCACAAGCTCAGTGACATGCCTGGCCACAAGCCTACACTCTCCAAATCATGCGGCTGATGGGCTTCTTTTATAATCGCTTCTATAGGTGTGTGTTAAATCACTGTATTCTGTCTGTCTGACATCAAATGAACGATACAAATTGAACGGTTTGATCCAAAAAAGCAGAAAGTATGACAATTAAAACATATAAAACCACTTTTACCAACTGATAAAATATTTCTCCATTCATTTCAGTATCTATATAGTTTCATTCATTTAAAAAAAAACACTTTTTTTTTTCAAAGCAAAACAATTTATTTTTTATTAATTTTTATGTCAGTGTCAGTTTAGTAATTGTTATGGCTTTAACTTAGTGATAGTGCACCCTAAATTAAAATAAAGTCTTAATTTACTCACCCGGTGTTGTGTCGTATGCCCTTCTTTCTTTTTCTGACCACAAAAGGAGGTTTTTTTTAATAACGTCGAGGTCACACTCGTCCATCTATATATGATATTGCGCATTTAAAAAAAAAAAAAAAGCCTGATGCTGGTCACTATTCACTGCCGTAGTATGGAAGAGCATGAGCGCGAAAGGGCATACGATATTAGAAAAACACAAATAATAAGTAAATTATGAATTTATTTTCAGTTTAGGGTGCACTATCCCATTAAACTTATGTCAGTTAGTTGCCAGCAACTAGCAAATCACTTAATTAACAAAAACGTTTCATTAATTGAAGTCTTAGTTACTGGCAATCCTTGTAAATTTGATTTTGTCCGAATAAGGATTGCAAAGGTACAATCTAAAAAATGCTGGGTTGCTTTAACCCAATTTTGGGTCAAATATGGACAAACCCAGCCATTGGGTTACATTTTTAAATTACATTTTTAACCCAATGTTTGAGTTTGTCTATATAGGACCCAAAATTGGGTTAAAACAACCCAGCATTTTTAGAGTGTAGACTAAAATGGATGTTGATGAATTTCACAAAGCAAAAATGCTGATGGCTATCATTCTAAGTCAACACCAGGGCAGCTGTACAGCTCAACAGCTGATTGCCGAGGAATGCTTACGTCTCTTTTTTCTGGTGAGACCTCAGGATGAGATAACCAAATTCCATCCAGGGAATGAGGAAACAAGGTAAAGCAAACCACCCCTTCCGCTGTCCTTGCAAATATTTCTTTTTCGCTACTAACGAGTTGTTTTTAATATAATTCATGCCTTTAGATAGCTTTTAATGCAGTTATGCCGAAGCCTGTACATTCTTCTCATGTGTCGGGGGGAATTATGTGCTAAAATTTTATATGTGTTGTTTAAAAAGTGAACGTTTCTTTTACAGGTTACAACCGAGACTGGGCTTGAAATTAAATTTGGACTTTCGTTAACTATTTACAATCTGGCTAAGAGAGGAAAGGAGAGACAGCAGGCTGTGTAAAACATTAAGCTATCCAATGCTGCGCTGGGACACTGAGCAGTGTGACCTTGTGAATTGGCTGGCTATTTCTGCCTCACTTCTTCCACTTTGAAAGGGCTCTTCACTGTACGGAAGTACTGCTGTGCCGCATCCATCAATGCATCAGATTAAAGGGAGGACAGCAGCTGCAGAGCACCATGGGAAGTTTTCTAAGCCATCCACATGCCTTTTTCTGACTCAGCCCTGAAGCACATTTGCATTGACGGTATAAGAAAGTATTTTACCTTACTGAAGAGTTACAAGTGGCGATACAACATGACACATGGACTATTATATTGTACATTTAATGGCTTGTTTTAAGATGAAAGTGTCTCTAAAAATACACTAAGCATTCGGACAGCGGTGATGATTCATGTACTCCAAAACAGCTTTTTCCCTCTCTCTCTTTCTCTCTCTCGCACATAGCAATCATAAGCACAAATATAAACTGGTGCTTTCAGTCAGAACAATGTGAGGGGGCTGGGTCAGTGACTCTCAAAGGGCCTTACATCACATTCCTGGGCCCATTTCACTGAACATCCTTTCATTCACTACTAGAGAAGATCCACTCAGAGAGGGTTGTTACATCCCACAGCACAGCATGTTATTTCTCACAAAATACAGGGTCTTGCCAGTGGTCCTTTTAGAAAGTTAAGAACTTGATGCACCTAAATTGGCATAATTTTGCCAGCAAGCTACTGAAATCCTTCATGATTTAGCAAATATAAGAATAGATAAATTGCATGTGCTGGTTAGATTACTTACTGATTCTAAAGTACATGACAAAAATGTTAGTTACTAATGTAACCCATTACATTACAAATTGAAGGTAATGCAATCTGATTACTTTTGATCTCATTCCTTTATCACATTGATTTAAATAGGATAACCTTGTACCATATTGATTTTAAACTACAAAGTGAAAGAATATTCCATTATTTGTTATCAACATACTAGTATTTAAAGGGTTAGTTCACCCAAATAAAGTTGTTATTTTTGTTGTTTTTGGACACAAAAAGTGTTCTTGTCATTTGATAAACTTAAGATTGAGCCACTAGTCACTCTGACTATTTTAACGATGTCTTTAATAACTTTTCATGGCCGGCAAGTTTCAATTCCTCAAGAAGCCTATGGACAAGTATGCAGATTTCATCAAAAATATCTTAATTTGTGTTCCGAAGATGAATGAAGGTCTTAAGGGGTTGGAACAACATGAGGGTGAGTAAATACTGACAGAATTTTCATTTTTGGGTGAACTAACCCTTTAATGCACTGACAAAGAATGGAATATTCTTTCTCTTTGTTTAAAATCAAGGGTTCACCAAGTTTGTTATGGAACTGCAGGGAGTTTAAAGAAAAGCTAATCATAAAAATGTAAAACTAACAAAATAATTTGAAAATAAAAACAAATCAAAAGTAAAACACTTACTAATAATATGAAATATTTTATGTTTACCTATATGTGACAATTATCCGACATCACAGAATCATGAAACTTAAAGGTACTGTTGTAATTTGTTTGCAGATATGAAGCATGCTAAATTCACATACTTGTTTCCCCAAAAAGCAATGCCAGTTATTTATTGGATTTTGAAATGTGTGTTCCGTGTCAGAATGACTGTTTTTGTTTTAGTCTGTGTGATCCCACCCACTGCCAATCAATACAAATAGTATTTTGACAATCAATGAATTATGAATCCTTTACTACCACTGTGAGAATAACATATAAGCTAATCAATGTAATAACTGAAGTCTGATTACAAGCATTTTAAAATGCAATATAATCTAATTACAAGTTCTTAAGTTTAGGAATATATACATGTATTCATTCACTACACATCACTGTGGAATTCTACAGTAAAAAAATATAAGAATGGTATATTAACATTAATAATAAAGTGTTTTGTGCTGAATTTACTTATGAGGCCCAGACTATTTGCAACATTTTGAGGGAAATATGGATTTTATCATGATTAAATATTATTTGCAACTGAACTGATCAAATTAGTCAAAACATTTTACAATCAAATCAGTGAGTTACAGTTTATTTTTAAATGCATTTATATGAATTATCCTGCTTATTTAAAACAGTAAGCAGGATATTTGCAAATTGTAAAATATACAGGCATCAATATGCCATCAGTTTATAATCCATATTTGTAAAGAGAATTTCTGGCAACCACAGCTTTACACAATTTATTTTTACAGTATTTTGTAAATATCCTGTTCATGTATATTGCAAATATATAATGCACATTCTCTTGTAAAACAGAGCCAAAAAGAATTATTTTGATAATTATACACTTTCATGCGAGGAAATCACCGAGGACAGCGATCTAGCTTTCACTTATAGTGATGGTTTCAAAGCAGCAAGTTAAACTTTAAAGTTAAATAAATGGGAGCACAAGTATGCCCTGTTTAAATATTTAGTTTGGGGAGGCTGCAGCAGCCAGGGAACAGTCATTTACACAGAGCCGGGACTGAGATAGGCCTGACATGTCCGGAAGAGAGAAAGAAACAGATGGAGAGGAATGGCAAGATAAATGTGCATGATAAGTTTGTTTGGATATATTTTGGCAGAAAACTTACACTCCACTTTATGACCGATAACCTTATCTCACTATTAAACCTCCCCAACTCATTTGAAAATCCTTATTGATCCTAATAAGTTACAATTGTCCAAAATTATATGCGTAGCAATATTTAAACCACACCTTTTGCATAAATTTTACAGCATTAAATAACAAAACATCGAACAAATGGACAGTTACCTTTAAGAAAGATAGTACACAATTTTCATCACCCATCTGGTAAATGTATTACCAGAGACGTATGACCCCTCTGTCCAAAATGTTCTACACTTCCTTCTTATGGACAAACCATGTCAGGACACACTTTCAACATTCATCTTTAAAAGATATATTTCACCTCTGGACAAGCTTCGCACCTTTGAGATTTCCAGAAGCCAAAGTGGAAAAACAAGAATACTAGTGTCCATTATAGTTTGATTTCACCCAGAAACGGGCAACAATCTATTAGAGGAAGAGGGAGGCTCAGGCTGCTATGGAAACAACCGGAGATGATATGAAAGGACAAAAGGACATTACAGGAATGACATAACAAAGAGGAGGAGACTTAATAGAGAACACTCTCTAAACTATTCATTATGGCTGTTAATCTATTAAGAGCTTAAAAGGCATATGACAAAGGGAGAAATTTGTGTTACCGCTACAAGGCAGAAATCCACAACATGAGACATGGCAAATGAACTAATTCAATTAGAGATGCTAAAGATTAGAGAATAGAGAAAATAGCATATTAAATGGTGTCGTGTCTCGCTTACTGACAAGAGTAGCATTGAGAGGTAAAATTTGAAAGCTGAAAGGTGAATTCAAGTTCAAACTGACATTAAACTATGAAAAATAAAAGCCAGAGGCTATTGGGATTGCTTGCAAGAGGTTATTTAGAGGAACACTGTGTCTTGAACGATTTTATACTCTACTGTTCAAACATTTGTGGACAGCAAGCTTAAGAAATTAACACTTTTATTCAGCAAGGATGCATTCAATTGATCAAAAAGACAGTAAAGACTTTTATAATGCACAAAATATTGTGTAAAATCAGTACAAATCACTGTAGTAATGATGCTGAAAATTCATGAAATTCCATTTCAAAATAAATTAAAATACAACAAATTTATTTTAAATTGTGATATTATTTCACAATACCAATGTTTTTTTTACCGTGGTTTCGATCATATAAATGCAGCCATGGTGAGCAAAAGAGAGAGCAAAAAAAAAATTGTACACAATATTTAAGAAAGTAAAAGTTAACACCAAAATATGAGAAAAGAGTGAGATGATAAATAAAGTGAGAAGAAAAGATGGTCTATATTCTTCCATATTAGCTCCATAAATCCTCTTTGCACTTCAACAGTCCTCATCTCTCTAAATCTCGCCCTGTGGTCTCTGCTTATTTACATTTCTCTCAAGAAGAACGTCACACCCTACATGGCATTAATGGCCCAGGCAGGCATCAAGCAGAAAGGGGAGCACACACACCTACCATTTTGGTGTGTTTATTTGAACTGCAAATGATGGGGGATGGAGTGTTTGTGTGTGTGTGAGGGACACTGACTGGAGCTGGAGAAGGTTTGGTGTTAAACTGCAGGTCTTGGTCCATCTCACACATACCGGTATATACACTCTCTTAGTATGCTTTTCATCGTGCGCTTGTTTCTCACAGACGCTTCTCTGTACGGGACGTCCCAGATATGGAGCAGAGTGCAGGGATAGAGTGGGGTTATACATGCACCCCAAACCTCTTTGCCTTGGAATTAAACCCTCCTTTGTCTTTACTAATTTTCCTCACTTACTAAGAAGAAACTGAGACATTGAAACTGTGGGAATTGTCAGGCCAGATCTGATTCACATATGGAAAGCAGTCCTTCTTCACACACACAATGGCATCAACTGGAGCCGTTCCAAATCTCCACAGTCTTCCTAAGCAAGCTGCCAGTAATTAAAGCTGCAACTTTTTTGTGTTAAAAATGAACAAAACGTATATAATAATCGATTACATCATGAATCCATTTTTCCAAACAGTGTTTTTGTCTTATCCTGAATCATACGGTACACATAATAAATATTTATATTCAGACTATTTTAGACTGGTTCGGTGTAGCCCAGTACCTGCGTGACTCGTCCTAGACATAAAAAGAGACTCCGTAAAAAAGTAGCTCCGGCTAAAATTTTCTTTCGTAAGACGCATGCAGTTATGTTTATTAACCGCTAGAGCACCAATAGTTACGGACTGCAGCTTTAAGTATGGAGATTATTCTGGGGTGATTGGTAGACCCAGAGCAGGAAAACAATAAAAACAACAGCTATATAAACAGTTTATAACACTTAAAGAATGTTTTAAGTTCCTCAATGTAATAGTTGTACTCATGTTGGTTTCATATGGTTTTGAAAATGTTTTATAATATTTTCAGTATTTTCACATTTAAAGTGTAACTTTGCAGATATTCAACCCACTTTGTATTGCTACAATTCTGGTAGTCTATGTAAATGAACAAAGATTCCTCATTATCTGTGTTATGTGGGTTTAAAAATTCTTATTTGGATTTAAAAAGTCCACAGGATGACATAAAATGTTCCAGGGCGTCCAGTCATATCGACAGAGGGTTATTAACAGAACAGTTATTGTAAGGCTATAGGTTCACTATACTTTGTCTACTTTATAAACACCACTGGATCCTTC